ATTGCCAATCGCTTTACACGCCGCATCTCTGGACTAAATTTAAAAAGGAAAACTATCGAATTATTAAGGTTCAGTATAACGATTCGTTCCGAATATTACTACGTTTTCTGAGGTACTGTAGTGCATCTACAATGTTCGCTGAGGCACGCGTACCGGCGCTCGATGCTTTGATGAGACATCGCGTTTCCAGATTTGTTTGGTTTGTGGTCGTGAGATCTTCTCAAATCTGGAAACGCGATTAAACAAATTTTTACGCAAAATTGTAGTAAAATATTTAAGTATTGGACTACGTTAAGATGTAATTAATAATTTATTTGATGGCTTTAATTTATTTATATTTATTTTTGTATTTCAGTATTATTTTAGTTTATTTCAATATTTTTATTATTGTTGCTTATAAGTACTTATGTTTTTAACGGGTGTTTGTTGTCTGTCAATAAATGACTATTATGGGGTATTAGTAGTGTATTCTCATCTGATTGGGCTGAATAAATTTATAAAAGGATATGATAAATATATATTTAATATACTAACATTAATAAATAAATAATACATAAATAAATAAAAGCCCAACCAGATGGAAGCCCTCGGCAGGGGAGACCAAACGGCCGAGGGTTAGGGGGAAAGGGAAAGAAACCGGCGGACGATGCGGGCGGTATCGAGGAGCACCGCCTTCTGCATTTGAACCCGGAGCGGTCCATTACGGAGTCCCAGTCACCTCAGATGACCCGAGAGGCTGGCTGGGATTAACCTGTTTGCAGACACGACTACAGGAATAATTTCGGTCGGTAGACCACCCCACATGTCGGTCACCTCGTGAGCCAGGTCCAGATATTTTGATTGCTTATCTGTTGCGGCTTTCACGAGGTTCTCGTCATATGAAATAGTAATGTCGACCAAAAATATCCTTGACTGTGTTGATTCGCAAGAATAGTCCTGTCTGTGATGATGGCCCGGTCCCAGTAGAGCCTGGCGCAGTCGTTTTCGAGCACGGCTTCCGTCAAGTACTTGTAATACGGCAATTTCCGGTACACGAGATCGTATTTCAGAGCGAGCTCCTGGTGTAGAATTCTGGCTACTAGGTTGTGCCTGTGCAAGTACTCAGAGTTAGAAAGCGCCGAACAACCGGAGATGTCATGCCTAAGTGACTCACCGTGATGGCGACAAGCTCGACAGATGTCGACGATGCCATCCTTTACGATGTATTTCCGATAGTTGTTGGTCTTAATAACCTGATCCTGTATTGCACAGACAAAACTCTCGGTTTCCCCGAAGAGGATTATTATTATTAAATAATACTTACGTGGTAGCTCACATGGTTAACGATCGCTGTAAATATAACAGAACGCTAGATACCCGGGTTCGATCCCCGCCGGCACCAATGAAATTGTTAATTGCAATTTTAAGTGATGCTCGGTGGTGAAGGAAAGCATCGTAAGGAAATCTGATCGGGAATAAGAAAAAAATATTTTAAAGACATGTGAAGTTCGCCAACTCGCATTGGGGCAGCGCGGCGGACACTTGATTGCCCTAAAACTCTCAGAAGTGAGGGGAGGCCTGTGCCCAGAAGTGGGACGTATGTATGTAACTCTACTTTACTTTTAATACTTACTCTATTTGTACTATATATAATATATATGTAATATCAATATAAATTGATATTACATAATTGATATGTTATGTAACATCAATTTATATTCATATTGGTAAGTCGAGTTTATCACTAAATTGTAGGCAGACACTGCGTTGACCGTAAGATAAAGATGCGACTCGAGTAGAATTTTGTGACTCGAGCCACTCGGGTTAATTTATGTATGTATGTCGTTGTAATTATATACGAGTTTCAGGTAAATCGACTATTTACAGTCCCTGCATCGAGTAAAAGTTTGTCACTAGAATTGAGAGTAGCGATTACTTTAGTTAAAGCATTTTTAAATATGTACCTTTATTATTTAAGTAATATGTGGCAATATGAACTGAAATGAAAATAATGATTTCTTAAATTTACGCGAACACTACACATTGAATATATTATTTCTAACCGATGTAAATGATGAATGAAAATATTAAGTAATTATTTATTTGTAGTATTTTTATGTTCTTTTTCATGTTTGTAGTATTTTAAAAACAATAAACTGCTTTTTTCATATTGTTACGAGCTTGAGGTTCGTGACAATAAAAATTGCCGATAGAATTACCTAAATTAACACTTTAATTCACTTTACAATAATTAAAGTTAAAAAAAACACTAATAATTAATCACACTGATTCACTTTATTCCGCTCCGAAGCTTCGCGTGTCTCGCCAACTTCAATACTTACCCTATCGCGTATTGCAGCGCCTTTATATAGGGCTCTTCCACGAAAACATCCAGAATATTCCAGAATATTCAAGTAAATACGCGCGTCAACCGACCAAGCGCAGAAAGATCGAGTGTAGAGCTTCTAGAAAGTTTAGTTCTTCAATTTGATACTAGATGGCGCTGTCGGTTAAAAATTAGTTATGTCATTTTCTGGAAAGCTCCCTTCGCTCTCGTTCCTGACACTAGATGGCGCTAGTGTATGACGTTGAGCGCGTAACAATATCTTACAAACGACTTTCCCCACGGTATTATTTGTTTTTTCAAAATAAAGCCACATTGATGACTGATGAATGATTTTTGTTTTGTTGTTTCTTTTTTATCATAACATAATATAACGTAAACACTGACGCCTGTCACCCAGAGGGGTAGGCAGAGACTACCTACAGACTTCCATTTAGCAAGATCTTGACACACCTCTCTCGCCTCCTCCACATCCACATACCTACGCATACATGCTCGTTGTTTAAGGGTACTCCTAATTTGGCCCGTTTTTAATATATCGCCAATTTGGTCGATAAACTTTCGCCTAGGACGTCCCTTTCCGACTCTGCCGTTCACTTCTGCAACATAAATTTTCTTTATCACTCTTTCCTTATTAATTCTTTTCACATGACCAAACCACCGAAGCATTTCTTTCTTAATCCTGGTCACAATGTCATCTTGCAAACCACACTCTTCTCTTATCACACAGTTTCTCACTCTGTCATCCCTATCTATCAGATTCAGCCCTAACATACTCCTTAACAGCTGCATTTCTACTGCGTTAATTTTACTCTCGTGCTTCTTCTGCCACACCCAACTACTACACCCAACCACTACCATACGTTAAAGGTGCAGGGCCCCATTTACTCTATTTTCTGCGTTCACTCGTCGTTCTATATCCTTATCATATCTCCCATCCCTGCTAAATACACATCCTAAATAAACATACTTATCTACTTGCTCGATAAACACCCCTTCTATTCTTATTTTACATATCGTTTTACTTTCTTCTCTTTCAAAAACCATAACTTTCGTCTTACTTGCGTTCACTTTCATACCTGTTTCTTTTAATGATATGTTCAATAATGTAACGACCATTTGCAACTCGGCCGCCAACGACGCAAGAATAACTTGATCACCGGCGTATAAAAGGTATTTGATGGTTAACTCACCCATTCTTAATCTGCATTCTTCAACTTTCAAATTTTCCAAACAACTATCTATAAAGAGTTTGAACAGCCACGAGGAAGCCACACAGCCCTGTCTGACACCTTTATGGATACCTAACCAATCCGAGTAGACCCCGTTGATACTAACACAAGCACTAGAGTTCCTATAAAGAGAATTTAATGCCTGTATCAATCCAGCGCTCAACCCAAATGAGTTCAGTGTTTGCCATAGCACATCCCTGTCCATTCGTCATCGGGTTTTTCCAAATCCATGAACTCACAAAAACTTTTAGATTTTTGGTCAAAAACTTCTCCGCGATCATGCGCATGGAAAATTCTTGATCTGTACACCCCATTCCCTTTCTAAATCCCGCTTGCACACCCCAAATTTTTCCATTAGTTTCTTTCATGACCTTATCAATTAGTACCTTAGCATACAGTTTTCCCACAATGCTAAGAAGGCTGATACCACAGTAGTTTTAACAGACCTGCTGCGACCCTTTTTCTTTATATGTTGGGACTATCACGGCTTTGCACCAGTCTACCGGTACTCACTTCAGTTTCCAGCATGAATTTAAGAAGGTGTGTAGCAGACCTGCCACCACTTCCTCTCCAGTCCTTAGCATTACTCATAGTAGTAGCATAGGCATAACTCTATCATATCCGGCTGCCTTACTATCACTCATACTATAAGCAAACAAGTATATGTCAATCACCTTCTATGTTATGTACTACTTATTATACAAAAGTTACAGCCTATATACGTCCCACTGCTGGGCACAGGCCTCCGCTCATTTCTGAGAGGGTTTTAGGGCAAGAAATTGTCCGCCGTGTTAGCGAACTTCACATGTCTTCGAAATATATTTTTTTTATTTATTTCTCTGACATGCAGGTTTCCTCACGGTGTTTTCCTTCACCGCCGTGTTTTCCTTCAGCACGTGGTAAATCAGCACTTAAAATTGCAATTAACAATTTCATTGGTGCCGGCGGGGATCGAACCCGGTTTGCTCGAGTACTGTGAAATTTACAGCGAGCGCTAACCATCTGAGCTACCACGGCTTATTATACAAAGTAAGAAAAAATAATTAGCAATGATATTATAAATCAAACTAAGTTCAAATTTGTTTACAACATGCCGGATGGAAGTTTGAATTAGGATGCAACCTCTGATGTCGCCTGCGGCGACTTATACTACAAGTAAATTAGTGTAGTGACATTTACATAGCGATCTCCGTATCTATACAGTGCGCGCAGTTGACTCAGTAAAGGTCTTCGCACATTATAACAACTCCACGCCAACGCGGCAGCAACTCTACTCACACTCTCGATGAGTAGTCAACTAGTTGATCCACCCAATGGTCACTAGTGGACAACGCGGTGTCAAGGAGTGGCCAACGCGGTGCCAACGAGTGGGTTATTCAACAGACAACTCGTCTAACCTCAGTTTTCGGTTAAATTTTGTCCAAAGAAGTCGTGTTGCTTATGAAATGTCGAACTTTACATTCAGTGAACTGGCGATTATAGCTATTATATTTGATAATGAAAATGAACGAAACAGCAGGAAAAGAAGATATTGGGTACATGATTTGTTGCGACAAAGGAAATCAGAAGGGGAATATTGGAATATCCGGAAACGTCTGCTAGATGACGAAGAAAAATTCTATATCTATTTCCGTATGCCGAGATACTTGTTTTATTATATACTTAATATTATTGAGGACGACATCTACAAAAGAAACACGCGATTTAGAGAAGCTGTATCACCGGAAGAAAAGCTGGCAGTGACATTAAGGTAAGCAATAAGAAACTTTTTTATAATTTATATGTATTTATTTATATATCAAGTTAAAGGATAAATCAAAGCAAAGCAATTTTACTTTAATTGTGTTAAGAAGAACCATCAACCCTCGATTCTTCCATAGGCGTTGTATTTTGCTGTTGGGTGCTAGCGGTGCTACTACCGGTAGTACCTGCATTTAGGTTTTGAGTTGTGTAGCCAGAAGTTCCTGGTGCAAAAAAAATCATCATAGTAACAGTTTCGATTATTTTGCAGTTCTTGTATTTCAGCTTCCGAAACTAAATTAAAAATTCTTGACTTTAAAAGTGCTTGATTATAGGTAGATAATTTTTTTTACTGTGCTAGAAATACTTAAAAAAAATTTATCCATTTCGTCATTCTGCTTTCCATCTTCATCGTTTTTTTTTTTAATAAATATTCCATTAAAACCGCCGATGCACTTGTTTCTTGCAATTTCTTTCGTTTTGTCGTTTTTGGAATGTCAGGAAACACTGATCTAGATGAATCGTACATAGACACCGAAGATTCAGGACGCTCCGAGATAAATGACGAGTCTTGAGATTCTTCATTATTAGTCACATTGGCAAGAATTTCCGCAGCAGATAAGCTATTTTCATCATCACCATCATCTGTGTTGTCCACTGACGTCACTGTAGACCGTTCTTTATAATGTGGTAATAAAAAAGACATTTCAGTTTCATATTGCCATTTTTTATTAGTATTAGCACTCTGACCACTTTTAGTTGCTTTCTTTTTAATGGCTCTTCTATGATATTCCCTTAAGTTTTGCCATATCTTCTTACATTCTGACGCTGTAACAAAATAATATAAATATAAAGAAAAATTGGTTGTTTCAGGTACTTGATTAGTGGCTGTTCATTTAGGACTATGAGTTCAAGCTTTCGGTTAGGCGAAAGTACCATCCGGTCGATATTAAAAGATGTGTGCAATGCGATTATAAATACAATGAAGGGGAAGTTCATGCCCACACCTACTACCGAAGACTGGAAAAGAATCGCAGATGGTTTCAATAAAAAATGGAATTTTCCAAACTGTATAGGTGCCATCGACGGCAAACATGTAAACATAATTGCTCCTCCTAGCAGCGGCTCGCTATTTTTTAATTATAAAAAACACTTCTCTATCGTCCTCATGGCTGTCGTCGATGATAAATACAGATTTATAGCTGTCGATATAGGGGCCTATGGCAAGAATAGTGATGGCGGAATTTTGGCATCGTCAAGATTAGGAAGAGCGATTGAAATGAATACATTTAATATTCCAACTGACACACCATTACCTGGTACTGAAATAATAATGCCACATGTTTTTGTAGCCGACGAAGCGTTTCCTTTAAAAAGGAATTTATTGCGACCATATCCACGTTCAAGTGGCATTTCAGAAAAGGAAAGAATATACAATAATCGCTTATCGCGAGCTCGCAGAGTAGTTGAAAACGCGTTCGGCATCTTATATCAAAAATTTGGAATTTATAATAAGAATTTGCATTTACACCCAAAATATGTTGATATTGTGGTCTTTGCGACGTGTATTTTACACAATGTCATGCGGTGTTATAATATAACATCCGATGATGAAGTCAACACAATGCAGAGTTCGGCCAATAATGATGATGAACAGAGATTACTAAGTAATCTAAGTACAATTCCAGAAGATATAAGTGAATCTTCGGCATCTGCTTTTGAAACTCGTGATATGTTTGCAACTTATTTTCAATCTCCCGAAGGACGAGTTCCGTGGCAGCATTTAATATAGATCATGTATAATTAATATGTAATAATCGTAAGAAGTTGGTTATAATATTATTGGCTTATTAAGAATATTAAACAAGTTTCTATACTAAGCTGGGATTTTATTACTGATTACCTATATTAAATAAACGTAAGGCACTTTATTATAACATACAGAAACCCAAACTAAAAAAAATATATATATGACGTAGATTTAATATTTTATATCAGTAAATTCTGGGATTTTATATTACTGTATGTGAAAAAACTAATTTTTACGATAAACCAAGATTTTTCGAGTGTCCAAGTAGAAAATCGTAGGTACTGTTAACTGTACAATAACATACCTACTTTTTGGATGTAACAGGTTGAATTAAATTTTCTCAACAATGTACTTTAATGAAATGACTTATAAGTTTTAACATTATTATTAATATCTATTAGAATCACACATATTTATTTGTTCGATAGCTGAATTTCTGTAGATTATGGCAAAATCAATAACTCAAAAAAAAAAATTCTTACCTGGTTGCGACAATACAATAGCGATTTCATTCCATGCCTTTTCCTTCTTATGTACGTCACTATATTTCGGATCACGAAGGTCGTATAGTAGCGGATATTTTCGCACTTCTTCTATCAACTTTTCTTTCAGCATGATTTTCGAAAAATTATCACCGTGTACCGCCAACGTGCACTCCGTCCTTCGATTCTATAGTGAATGATGGCGGGCGGGGGGAAGGCACGGGGCGGACGGGTGGGCTGGCAAATGGTTGCCCGTCACGCGTCAGTCGCAAACGCATAGTCGTTACGTGGACAACGTTTGGTCGTTGCGTGGACGACGTATGGTCATTGCGTGACAAACGTGTCGGGGTTGACCTCTAGTGTACGATGCGTAGGCCACTCGTTGCACACTACTTTATAATCATTTTTTGAAATTGAACCTTGAACATATGATACAGGGCTTAAATTTCAATGTCTAGCATAGAGTCGAGTCGCCGGTGAGTTGTTATAATGTGCGAAAACCTTAACTCGGTAAAATTTATTTTCACTCGATTACCGAGTTGGACAAATGCAGTTGATTCACTCGAGTGAAAGAAAACAGGATTCGAGTCGCATCACTATTGTAAGAATAAAGTCTGTGTAATGATTTCTTATATAATTACGCGAACACTACACATTAATTAAAACTACTTTTACGGATTTTATCGCATTTATTTTACTATTATTTTTAATTCCCGACGTTTCGGGCGCTTTCCAGCAAAAATGGTCACGGTGGACTGAGATGACTGACGTCCCGATGTCATTGTTAAACCCGGAGTACCTTAAGCTTTTTTTTAATTATTGTTTATGGTCCGATCTATGCAAAATGAACTATGTCTTGAGGTCTTGCAGTGGTATGCTTGGGTTTAGTTTTAATTTTATTAATTATAGGATCCCAAGCAGGTGGTAGTACCCAGCCTCCTTCTCTATTGAAATTAGGATGTTTTTTAATTTCAATAGCCTCACGTATCATCCTTGGTAGGAATCGGTGTTCTTTCGCGAGGATTTGTGGTCTATCAAATCTGATGTAATGGTTGGGGCCGTCTGGGATATGATCGCAAACTGCAGACTTCCCTGACCTGAAAGTACTTCCTTGAACTGATACTGTAGGTACTCCGGGTTTAATAATGACATCGGGACGTCAGTCTTCTCAGTCCCCCGTGACCATGTGTGCTAGAAAGCGCCCGAAACGTCGGGAATTAAAAGTAATAGTAAAATAAACGTGATAAAATCCGTAAAAGTAATTTTAATAAATAAAGTCTGTGGTTAGTGGTTACATACTTTTTGATGGTAGCATAATTAAAAATTATTTATATACTTTTTTGTTTACAAGACAATAAATATCGTCCCATCGATACAAAAGTGTGTAAGACTTTAAGAGAATATGGATATTATCATGCAGATTGGCCAAATACTAATATTCCAAATTGTGTATTTCATTTTTGTTTTTTTGTGGTAAATTTCGCCAATGACTCGAAAATGAAAACTTATGAATTTAGTTCAATTTAATTAATATAAGAGTGTGATCGTAATACAAGAGTATAGTTTTCCACCTAGAATTTTAGAAAATCTATTATTAAATATGATGAGTTACCTAAAACAAATGACAAACAGGTCTTATGGAAGCCACACACGGTCAGTTATAGTCATCAGTTGAACTGATATTAGATCAAACCGATTTAAGCCAAATAAATTACCATACACACGGTCAGTTCAACTGCTTACGGCTTACTCCCATTTGTTTTCGAATTGAAAGCCACTTAATCAAGCGCTATCAGCGTCGCTTGACACATCTGAATATTCTGAATTGTGATAATGATATTTTCAATGCATATATATATGTATGTGTGTGATCAATACAGCTCGTATTGTAGATTCAATCTGAAAATCAAGCGGAATCAAGGCTGCAAAGTCTTTGCTAGAGATCTATTTACTGGTAAAAATGGTTTATTCAACTATTTCCTACCAAATGTCCCTTTGGAGGGACAAAGTCGACTCTTAATGTGTTCGTCTACTTTTTCCCACTAAATATTTCTTGTTGGAATAAATTACACTGTTTTGATAACCTTCGTCAATTTTTGCCTTCAAATTATAAGATATTGAACACAAAAAAATCATTCAAAGAACGACATATTTTATTTATATTATTTAATGATTTTTCGCAAATATTGAAATATCAAACGAGTAAAATAAAACATTTGAGAGCAATTCACAAGTAAAAAGAATCTAGTATTTTAAAACTTTTAAATGTTTTATCTCAAGACTTCTCACTTTTCAAGGTTAGATCTAAACAATACCAATTCATAAGCAACGTTTAGAAAAACTCCATAATGCCCAGATGAATCTTATGTTTCCGCTTACGGAGATATAATTTGGATATTTTTTAGAAAAACTAAGGTAATTCTTTTACGTTAATAATTTTATTCCACTAAATTTTATTTGTTTTTGGATTAATATGATTTTGCAATTGTGATAAAAAAAGGATATCTATAATTTTACGGAGATATAAGTTGGATATTTTTGGATAAACTAAGGTAATTCTTTTACGTTAATAATTTTATACAACGAAATTTAATTTTTTTTGGATTAATATGATTTTGCAGTTGTGATAAAAAAGGAAGAGATGACTTACGGATCAGAGACGTTGTCCTTCACTGCTGGCCGTATGAGGACGCTCAAGGTCGCTCAGCGAGCTATGGAGAGGCCTATGCTCGGAGTTTCTCTGCGTGATAGACTCAGAAATGAGGATATCCGCAGTAAAACCAGAGTGACCGACATAGCCCAACGGATTAGTAAGCTGAAGTGGCCATTGCCACTATATATCTTCGAGCTCGGCCCATTGGCCGGCCATATAGCTCGAAGATTACTAACTATTATTGGTTTGCCCGCTTCCGTTCTTGAAATTTCGACATGAAAAACGAACACCGTGGTCGTCCGAAAACTTGTTCGACACTGACGAATTAAAGGCGATTGTGGAAGCTACGATAGTCAACCTACCGCTGAATTAGCAGAAACTTTCGACGTTAGCATCAAAACAATTCTGGTCCATTTACGTCAAATTGACTTGGTATAATGCTTGGTAAATGGGTGCCCCATAAACTCTACTACTCCCTGGGCTAGTCCCGGAGGACCCGAAGAGGATCTCGCAGGGTCGGCCAAAAGCAGTAACTATCCAGGGGGACGGGTAGGCCACCGTCAGAGGGAAGGGTAGGCAGTTAGCTTCCCCCACCCACAACACCAATGGAAACGGTGGAACCCGCTGAAACACGGGCAACCATCGGGGCGACTCTCCAACCTAACTAACGTTAGCCTAACAGCTAACGACGCCACAGAGTGCCAGTCCTCACAGAAGAGGAAGCGGAGTGTACAGGAGAAGCAAGTCACAGCCTCCTCCTCAGGCTGTTACCTCTACCCCTACAACAGCAGGACCGATAGCCTCACAGGCGCAGGTTACTGAAGGAGCACCTAGGACCACGATGCGTAGAGCGCCAGAAAGGGCTCTATCTAAAAATAGAGCCCGCTCTACACATAAAGCGCGTTCTACCCAAAGAAGAGAGCAAGCCGTCAACACCCCGAGACCAGCACCTTCATACCCACGCAGACCACCACCAGCAGCCGGCCTCTAGACAGCTGATGCCATCCAAAGATTGGTAGGCATAGCTATCATGGTCGGCACTCAAGTCCTGGCCAAAATTAGGGCCGGGATAGATCCAATTACCGCCGTTATGAAGGTGCTGGCATCATTACTGGCACGGCATTACGAAGGACAGTAACTTACTCCTCCTTTATTGGAATCCGGACGGGATACAGCATAAGCTGCATGAACTCCGCACGGTCGCCCAGCAACAGGACATCCAGGTGATCTTGCTGGGTGAGACAAAATTAGGACCAACAACGCATCTAGAGCTGCCAAATTACAACATATACAGAAGGGACGAGGTCAATCCTCAAGGGATCGCCTACAGTGGGACGGCGATTCTAGTGAGGAGGGACATCGTCCATCAAGAGCTTGACCTACCAGATTTCTAGACGACGCGTTCAATCGGCATAAAAATGGAGGCAGCGGGCGAGGAACTAAGGATCTTTGCAGCATACCCCCCGCCAGGCACTCCATTCTACTCCTCAGACGTCTGGACGGTTATGGAAGGCACAACGCCTACCATCATCGCCGGGGACCCAAACGCCAAACACCCGGCGTAGGGGTCTAGACTGATCAACCCGCCGGGTCGTGAGCTTTATGTTGACGCAGAGAACTACAATTATGACTTTTTAGGTCCCGAGGAGCCAACACATGTTCCAACAGACCCACGGAGACGTCCGGTTGTATTGTACATCGTGCTATTTAGGAACGTCTAACTGCCCGATAGTGGTAGAGGTTTTGTACACAGCACCTCCCGATTCTGATTACCCTTGGCACCAAGGCAATGACTGCGCCTTCCAGAGCCTTTAAGAACAAGATCGACTGGAGGCTCTACCGTCAAC